GTGTGTGTGTGTGTGGGGGGGGGGGGTTCCGGCTGTGATGACGGGCGGGTGGCACAGGGCATTGTGAGGGGCGTGGAAGGCCTGCGGTGTGCTGTGCTCTGCAGGCATACGAGCTACTGCGAAGCTCATTACAACGTCATGACCGAGCGCATCCGTTGTCTTGCATGTATTATATAGCAACAATTAGACGGCCTCGGGCCAGGCATTGGACGATCTGCCATCATCAACACTGAGTGAGTGTCATGTAACGTTGCTTTGCAGAGTGCCTTCTGTGTGCATGAGAGGACACCATGCGCACAGTGGCTGAAAGGGAGCCAAAAGCACCGACAAATCCAGCTTTACAGAAGCACCTCATCTCACAATTCAGCCAGTTGCGTGGTTGAAGGCGGTTTGCGCCGAGGCCAAGTGGCCCGGCGTGGCTGTGCCGCGCTCCAAAGCGCGGATGCTGTGCGCTGCCTTGTGCGAGCTAAGGCGCCAGCTGCAGGGCATAGGCTAGGGGTGAGTCAATTGAGCTGCCCCGAGGGGCAGGGGGCGCGCGGCAGATGGGCTTCGCACGCGTCGGCTCGATTGCAACCACCCACCCACCAGGCGCCCGGCCGCCCAGTATCGCGCATTTTGTCAACGATCTTCAAGCACAGCGTTCTCATGGCCCCTGCCGAGGTGGTATACCCGCAGCTTGGAGCTGAGGGGGGGATTCAGCAGGGAGTATGGGAGGAACCTCATTGTCTGCCCGGTGGTCCCTCCTCATCGTCCGCTTGGCCATGTGCAGCAGCCCCCGCAGTGGTCAGATCATCAAAACGCAACACTCATGTTACAACATTGCGCGGAGCAGTGGGCACATGCGCCAACGAAAGGCCCATTCTCAAGCCTCGACAAGACGGCCACCATGACTAAGCTCATGCGATGCCCTCAGGGTTCCAGCAGAACTTGTGGTTGTTGTCCAACCCGGACAGCGCCGCCACCTGGGCGTTGGACAGCTCCCAGCCCTCCAGGATTTTCGAGGGCGAGGCCTCTGCGATGCGCTCCGCCCTGATCGATTTCGGGATGACGGCGCAGCCCTGCTGCAGGCCCCACCGCAGCAGCACCTGCGCGGGTGCAGCGGGCGCAGTGGCGCGTGTGGGACGCTGCAGCGCGCCGTCTGGCATGAGGGGCAGCGCTTTGGAGGGTGGTGCTGGCTGAGTCGTGGCATGTTGATCTCCGACTGTTGGCTCTGGCCGCATACAGGTTGTGCGTCGTACGTCAATTGAACGCACACGCATGCGCGCATTTGTGCGCGCACACGCACATACACGCTCTCTCACTCATTCTGTCACACACTCACACACAAGCCCACGCAAGCATGCACGCACCCCACACACTTCAACGCACGCGACCTTGCACCCGGTCACCAACCAGCCCCGCTCGTGCACCTGCGCCGGCGTGCGCCCGACCTCCGCCGCCACCCGCCGCACCGCCGCCTCCCCCAGCAGCTGCCCGCACCCCAGGCTTGCATACGCCACCACCGCCACCCCCTCCGCCGCGCACAGCGCGCGCAGCGCGGCGTTGGGTCGCCGCGGGTGCACCTCTATCTGGTTGACCGCCGGCCGCACGCGCGCATACGCGAGCAGCTGCGCGAGGTGGTGGGGCTCGAAGTTCGAGACCCCGATGGCGCGGGCCTTGCCTTGCTGATGGAGGTCCTCCAAGGCCTGCGTGGAGGGGGGGGTATTGTAGATTGTAAAGTTGTTGGACTTCACAAAGAGTTTGCAAGAAGCGTGATTGATGTGCATATGCGCGTGCGAGCGAGTACACATATGTGTGTAAATTGGCAGCAGGGTGGGGAAGCTGATGGGGAGTGACTTGAAACCAGCGCTTGGCAATGGAAACCCAGAACTGGCTGCGACCTGGAGACGTCATCATGTGGGCTGTCATCTGGGATCGACAGCCGTTGACCTGCCAATGCCTTAGACCTCCACCCACCCCGCAACCCGCGGGCACGCTCACCCGCCAAGCCTCCAGCCGCAGCTCCGCATTGCGCGGCGACGTGGCGCCCACCCCCGACGCCCCAGGCCAGTGGATCAGCAGAAGATCCTGCGCGACCGCGGGTGCGAGGGCGCGGGCGGGGCTGGAAGGAGGGCGACGCGAGCAGGTGGGCAGCCCCCGCTGGACTGCCGTGCGCGGCCGTGCGGCAAGCAGCACGTCGGCAGAGTGCGGAGGGCTGCTCATCACTCCGTTGCTGAGTGCAAAACGAACCGGCGGATGCAGGCGGGGTGCCGCTGAGTATTAGATAGAATGGCGCTCACTCTAGCTCCGCGGACTGTCCATGCCCCCTCGCACCGCCTCGCTATCCACCCCTTCCTGCACCGATAACAATCCATGCACCCACCACGGCATCCACCCGCAGCCGCTGCAGGATCTCGTCCGCCGCCACCCGCGCCTTGTCCCCCATTTGGTATGGAGAGATCTTGCTGGTCCTGCGAGCGGGAGGCATGCGTTCGCCAACACGACATGCAGTGACTGCCACGTAACTAATGCAGGTTGCATGGTATCATCGTGCGCGTTTGCAGTGTCATGCTGAAAGGGGTCACACAGGATGCGCCGAGCACTCAGCGTACAGCACTTGCGCCGGATCCTGGTTGGGCGCATATGCGTGGCCGAGGGGCCTCACAGGAAGACGCTGCTGCGCGGCGCGCGGGCCTCGTCCCACAAGGCTCGTGCTATCTCCTCTTCATTCTGCGTTGTGGGGATCACGTGATGCAGGACCCTTGCCGCACTGGAGTCCAATGTACCGCTGCCGCCCTCACGCAACAGAAAGGTTTTCATTGTTGGGCGTACCGTGGCCACTCCTGTGCACTGCGGCAACTGCTTCGCTGCGATTCAGCTCGCTCCTCACGCCAGCCGGCCGCACCTTATATATCGCCGCCGTGTCGATGTGGCGGATACCTGCAGCCAGCGCTGCGTGCACCGCCGCTCTCAGCTCCGCGCCGCCGGCTTTGAACGTGCCCAAACCCATGCGCGGCAGCTCGACGCCCCCCGCGAGCGCGATCGTTGGGTGCATCGATGCGGCACGTGCGTGGGTTTTGGGGTGTGGCGCCTGTTTTGAACAGGAAGTCGCTGGCAAGTGGAGGGTTGCTATGTATGTGCGAGATGAGACAGCGGCGGGCTTCGTGCGTCGCCGGCGCAGTGGCCACGTGATGATGCGATCAAGGCTGGTAGCGGATCAGTTGCTGTCAAGTCAGGTATGTGTGACTTGAGGTCACGAATGCGCCTATGTGTGTCCGCAGAGATAGCTTCCAGGCTTCAAACGAGTGAGTTCAAGTGACAAGATCATCATTGAATCATTTGTACACGTGAAAGCTGTGCTTAACATGGTCTTTCATGTACGTGTTCCAATATCAAGCACAACACACTGCCTAGTTTGAGTGCAGGTGCCGTGTTCTGAGAGTACCGAGACTGTGAGAGACCTCGGCCTGGGACAAGGATTACTACAGGAATGTCCGTGGGGTCTATCTGCCCGCCAATTAAGGGCCTGACATGGATCAAAGGCGGGCCGATGCCATTGCCACCACCAGGTGCGCAATGCTGCACTCATGCAGCACCCGTCACCATGAGGCAGCATCCACGAATGCATCACCGGCGCCGGCGAGCAGGCAAGCCAGAGGCTGGGACGGCAGGCTTTGCGGACGACCCTGGCTCAGGAGGGCAGAGGCGGCGCCAGGCGTTGCCGGAGCCTGACCGTCACAGCCTCTCGGCCCCTCCCCCCCCCCCCCCCTGCCTCCCAGGGCCCTGTGTCATCGAATTCTGGGCCACTTGGTGCCCCCCCTGCCGGCAGACGATACCCCACTTGACACAGCTTCAGCGGCAGCTGCAAGGTGCGCCGCGCCCGCAGACCGTGGCGTGCGCTCGTGCCAGCCCTGCTCCGTGCAGCAGCGAGCATTCAAACGGTGACATACCGGCACGCTTCCTGTGTGCGCGCATGCGGCCGCGCCCCAGGCAAGGTAACCATCGTGGGCATAAGCCTGGACGAGGACATTGCTAAGCTGCAGCGGTTCGTGGCGGCAGAGGGCGAGAAGATCGGGTACGCCATCGCCGCGGACCTGGCAGGCGGCGCCCAGCAGGGTGAGCCGCCTGGGTGAGCCGCCGGCGCCCGCGTGGCGGCCTGGCACGGCCTGGCTCACCGCGCATGGACACATGGCCAGCACAGCTGTAATCATGTAAGGGCAGCTGATGGATAGCTGGATCACCCTGTGGCAACTAAGTGTGCTTGCTACACATACACACACACACACACACGCACGCGCGAGCGCATGCTCCCATCCCTTACGTGCCCGTGCGCACATCCAGAGCTGTACCTGAAGAGTGAGGCGCGTGGGGTGCCTCACGCGTTTCTGCTGGATGCCGATCACAGAATCCTCGCCAGCAGGTGCGCATGCTGCGCCCCACGCGCCGCACGCCGCGCCTTCTGCCCAGCCCCCCGCAGCGCCCCTCCTCCAGCCTGCCGACACTGCCCCGCGTGCTGAGCGCTTGCCACCTGGCCGCTGCTCAACACGCTCACCGAGCCAAGCGCCTTCCCGCCCCCGCTCAAACACGCCCCTTTCACCCCACACACAGCCATCCAATGGACCCGGCCTTCACTTCAAAGCTGCAGGCCGCGGCCGCCTCCGCGGGCCCCGCCCCCGCGCCCGCCCCCGCCAAGAAGGCGGTGCCGCCGGTGACCCTGTCGTTCGACGAGCTGATGACTAAGGGCGTGAAGGAGCTCAAGGCGCTGCTGGCAGAGCGGGGGGTGGCCCACGCTGACTGCCTCGAAAAAGGGGACCTCGCGCGGCGCGTCGTGGAGCGGTGCTCTCAAGTGACGCACTACGTGTGACGCGCGGCACGCCCAGCAAGCCCACCTGCCTGCTTGCATCTTTGCAAGCATGCATCGTAGCATGTGCAGCTTTGTATAGGAATGCAGGGCCGGCTGACGGCAGCCCCAGGCGGGTGCACAATACCGGACCCCTCTGCACAACCGACTCGGTGCACGTGTGGGTTGTCAACCTTCTGCCTTGTGCGTCTGTGCCTGACATCACTCACCCTAAAGCTGTGCGTGGCAGCTCCCAACACCCAGCGTGCTGCCTGTGCGCACGCTAGACTACCCCTGGTTTATGCGCTGGCGCCTACGTCTGTGCGTGCACTGCAATAGCATGTGAGATTTGTGGCATGCAGTCCTGTGGAGTCGGTCACCCAACTGTGAAACTGAGATGTTTCACGAACACAGCCAAAACTGCATGTAACCACAGGGTGACGGGCGTCAAGAGCCAGGTGCAAGCCCCGCAACCCCCGGCCCCCACAGACGCACCGCGGGCTCTGTAGCTGCGACACAACCAAGCAGCCAGCAGTTGAAAGGCGATGCAAACGCGCGCCGCTGGCAAGGGCATGGCGCGCCTTTGATACGGCACGTGCATATTGCGCATCGTCATGGAAATGTCCCCGTTGTGTGGCAGGCTGGGCGCAAGTTTTAGAGCCCTGCTGCTGGGGTTGTGAAGCTGATGACTGCCCTTTCCCCTTGCTGCCCTGTGAGTGCAAAATTCCCCTTGCTGCAGGCACACACGCACACGCGCACGCGCACGCACACACACGCGCACACACACACACACACTCGCACACAGGAGTCCTGTGTGTACGCCGCCGCTGCGCTTCCTCTTCTCCTAAGCGTCTCGAGGATCATCACCATCTTTGCACCATGAGAGTGTGACCAGACACACCAATAGTGACACATGTCTGTTCTTCAACAGAGCCCTGCTTCAGCAGCAGGCGCAACTGCTGTGACCTTTGATACATCCCATCGCCACCATGGGGCACGCGCCAATGCGCGAGCGCATCTGTGCGCCATCCCACAGCACTGCGTGCGCGTGTGAGAGCAATACCAGAAAGCAACGCTCTGCTTGCTCGCAACGGCTCTCGCTAACTGATTGTCTGCAACATGGGCTGCGGGCCGCACTGTTGCAGCGGCATGCAGGAGGCGCCCCCGGTGCATTCGCTCTCACCCTCAGCAACACACGGGGCCATCAACCGCTCAAACTGTTCACAAACAAACCCGCGTCGCGGACCCGGCGCATCACCGCGCCGGCAGACCCCGCTCCATCGCAGACCGAAATTCCCGCAGCAGCCGCTCCAGCTCCCCCTCCGTCCCCTGCACCCCTGCAGTCGCGGCCGCCCCGGTCGCCGCGGCCGCCCCCCGGCCGCCGGCGCCGGGCCTCGCGATAGCCCCGGGCGCCTCCCAGGCGGCGCCGGCGTCGCCGGCTGCGACGATGCCGGCCGCGGCGACCCCCTCGGCTTCCTCGCGCCGCCGCCGCGCCACGGCCTGCGACACCGCCTGCCGCAGGTGCTGCGAGAGGGCTGACCACTCGGGGGTGGCCTCCAGCCCGCTGGCGCCAGGGCCTGTGTGGTCGCAGGTTGAGCGAAAAAGATGCGAGGCGAGGCCGCAGTGTGAGCTGCGGAGTTTGGCCTGTCTGACCAGCTGCGGCGGACCAAGGGGTGTGTACACCTGATGCATCACGCGCAGCGGGGGCAATCATGGTCCGCAAACCATGACCAGGCAAACCAAATCGAACTCACCTCCGCGAAGCTGGCAGTCAACCAGCCGGTCAAACACCGCCTCCGCCATGGCCGCCAGCCCCAGGTCCGCGCAGCCCTGCAGCAGCGCCGCCAGGCAGGCCGCGGGCAGCGGCGCGAGCAGCCGCCCGCGGAGCGCCGTCTCGCAGGCGGCCGCCAGCTGTGGCAGCAGGAGGACCTCCGCGCAGTGCGCCAGCCGCGCGGCGCCCCGCGCGGCGCGGCACACGGCGCAGGGGCCAGTGGCCGCGGCGTCGCCGCCACCCTTCGGTTCTCCGAGCCCGTGCTGCGGCACCCGGCTGTCAGTCCTGCTTGGTTGGCTGGCTGGGCCATCCGCCCATGCGTGCCAGCGGCAAGAGGAGAACGGCTGCTCCCCGGTGTATAAGAAGCGCAGCAGCTCCCACGCCACGTCAGCGTCCGCGTCCGGCAGTACGAGCGTCTGCAGCGCACGCCCGCCGGCGCCGCCGCCGTCGCCCGCCGCGTCGCCCCAGCGCTCGGAGGTCGCCGCGGCAAAGTAGGGGCAGCGCGCGGCGAGCAGCAGCCGGTGCGCGGGCAGCAGCAGCGCGCAGGGGGGCGCGCCGGGAGCACCATCTGCCGGCACGGGCGCGGCGAGCCAGATATCCGCAAAGGGGTCGACAGCGGCCGCACCGACGCCGTCGATGTCCACACAGGCGCCGTCATAAGGTGTTGCGAGCTCCCCTGGCCGTGCTGACGGATCCCCGGGCGTCAAGGCGGCCAGCGGCACCTCCCGGGGTATGCGCTGCGCCAGGTGGTGCGCCTCTGCCAGCAGTGAAGCCATTGGCCTGTGGGCGCAGGGCGGGCAGCCCCCCTCGGCCACACTGTCCGCGCCGTCGCAAGTACTGCCGCCGCTGCTGCAGCTGCGTCGTCCGCCACGATGACTCAAGATGCCATCATCAAGGCTGATGACGTCATCGTCGTGCGACAGCGCCCCAGTCAGCGGGATCACCGCGCCGCGCCGCGGCAGGGCGCACGAGTAGTCCTCCGATGCCGCCGCCGCCGGCAGCCGCTCCCCCGGCAGCGGCAGCCGCCCGCCGCACAGCGCGGCGAGCCGCGGCATCCGCAGCGCGCGCGCCAGGAGCCGCAGCCGCTGCCGCGCGGGCAGCTGGCGGGGGAAGCCAGGGGGCCAGTCCTCCGGCAGCTGGGCGCAGCCCGTGTAGGCCCATTGCACGAGCAGCAGCAGGGCGGGCTGGTCAATCGTGTCGCTCAACCTCAAACAAACCCTCGAACCGACACCATCACTCCCGCCGCCGCCGCCGCCGCCGCCGCCGCCGCCGCAGACTGCGGGCCCGCCGAGGCACCCCGCGGTCCCCGTGGCGCCGACCGCCGCGGCGGCGGCGGCGCGAAGCCGCTCCTGCAGCACCGGCGACGCGCACGACAGCACGACGCCGTGCGCGGGCACTCGCCACGCGCCGCCCCCGCCCTCCAACTCCACATCCGGCCGCTCCGCGCCGACTGGTAGCCCCTGCCGCGCCCACGGCGCCGACCCGCAGACGCCCTCGCCGCGCGCGCCGGCCGTCGCCCCGGCCGCGGCAGGGCCGGGGCCGGGCAGCGGGCGCACCCCCAGCTGTCCGTAGCAGAGCGACAGCGCCGCGACCGCCCAGCAGCGCACCTCCTCCAGCAGCGACGCGTCCACCAGCGGGCCGACAGAGGCGCTGCCGCCGCCCTGCATGCCTTGCACGCCGCTGCCTCCACCGACTTTGCCTTCGCGGCTTAAAGTGGCACTCAAGTTGTGGGCGTCGGCCAAGCCCGCCGCCGCCGCTGCTGCTGATGTCGACGGCGGCAGGGGCACCGTCGCCAGCTCTTCTAGTGCGGCCCGCAGGCGCCCGCCGTCCTCCAAGGCCGCCCGCCACCCGGGCTCAACCTCTGCTTCGGCCGCGGCCGCCCGTGGCCCTCCCGGCCCCGCCATGACGTCATCGCCGTGGGCCAGCAGGGCCAGTGCCTGCACAGCTGCCAGCATCGACTCCGCCACATCCATATCTACATCCAGTTCGAAGCGCACGCCATCCGCGCCGCCTCGCCGGCCCTCTCGCAGCGCCGCCGCCC